CTCTCGACTCGACTTTTCATAGCGTTTTTGGCCTCTTTGCGGTATTGCTGCACCGATGTTTTGCCATTAGCTCACTGGCAATCTTGCTGGAAACATCTTGAAATCTACTTCGCGCTCTACGTTTCAAGTATAAATCGCAATATTGTACACAACGCTAGCACTGAGCTGAACGGACGGCCGACTCTCTGCCTGCTTGCTTGGTTATCGAGGTACTAAATGTTGGCCAGACTTTTGAAAAAGCCATAAACTGTTTGGCATTCTCTGTGAACTGGTTGTCTACACTCTTTTCCCCTCACTAACATTTATTGTTATCGCAGCATTTGAGGTTGGAAATATTTTTTTTTTAACTTCTCTTTCCTCAGAGGCATATACATACGTACATATGTATGTAAGTATGTACTTACGTAGTCGTATTTGGCGAGCTACTATTTTGCAAATTTTTCAGGGATTTCTCTGAGCAAATTTATAATCTAAGCTGCACGAATTATAACATACATTCGTTAATTGTTTATTGTGATGGTGGTTTTTTAATTTTCAGCTTTGGATTCTAAAAAGCGTTACTATGTTCACTTGGCATCGCTTTCACAGTCATTAGTTAACAATAGAGTTAACCAACCACTTTTCATTACTTCGGTTTCAATTTACTAATGGTTGACTAAACGCCTGATTATGGCAACTTAACTTAATTTAACGAAACTTAGAACTGTCGACGTGGCATTAACGTTACGTTAAGTTTCAGCTGTTCAATTATAAGCAACATCCATTTAAGAGTTGCCATAATCAGACCACAAGAGCTGACCAATGTGAATCCATTATTTAGCCCATAGCTAAAAATAGCTGTTTTTCTACTACGAGTAATAAACTAATGGCGATGAAAACGGCTGATGTCTTTAGGAATTAAATTACGCTCAATTACAAATTAATTAGTAAGCAATTCCTTCAGTCCACAGCAAAGAAACTGATTACTTTTTCAATTCCTTCGAAGTAATTTCAATTGTATTTTTTTTTATTCGATTAAAAGGAATTTCATATTGTAATTGGAATTAACTACGTGCTAGTAATGTAATTTTTTTCCAATTCGTTTGAAAGGCATTGAGAATGTAATGTGCTCGAGCACTCCCCGCCCCCCCGGTCCCTATCTGGCTACGCCCATGCATGGACCACATTTTTTCTAAAAAATAACAAAAAAATGTTAACTTGAAAAACGTTGCAAATTTAAATTTAAGAAAATTTTTTTTTTTACCTTGGCGTATTGATATATACTTATGTAAATCGAGTTCCGGAAGGCTAGCTGCGGAACAGCGGTCTTAACCACGCGTTTTCTAATGGTCTTAAAGTACTGCCAGCGCATGTTGAAAGTGCATTGTTGATAGTATAAGTCAACATACTTTAGACGGGCTGTCCTTTTTGACAACACATTAGTAATATTATAAATAGATGAAATAGTATCTTCGGCCAGCCTATTCTGATGGTCACATCGCATGAAAAATGTCAAACGTGCGCCCAAATATGCCATGGCGTATGAGTTATCTATCAACGTCAATATTTAGACCGATTGAAAGCGAGATTTCCAAGCCACTGTAATATTTTCTACTTATTAATTTATTTTTACGATTCCAAGGAAAACAAAGCATCGCTAACTAAAATACTTAATTCTATGAAGAGTAAAATTGTATTTAATAATAATCATAATAATAGATTGGCGCTTACACATATGTTAGTGTTTGGCCGAGCTTCTCCTCTGATTTGTCGCGTGCGCCTGGTTGATGTTGTCACACAAAGTGGAGGGACCTACTGCTTTTCTACAATTAGTGGACGCGATAATGTAAACTGATTTTGACGTTCTTTCACATGTATGATCTTCTGGTTTAAGCCAGAATATGCTCTGAATTTCATTAAAATCGGATAATATTTACTATTTCCGCCCATAAGAGGTGTTGGGCGCGTCGGGTTTTACCATTTTCCACACTTCTTCATTCCTAAGTGCCGAGTAGCGTATATACGAAATTTCAACAAATTTGTAGTACGGTTAATATTTTTGTCCGCAGTTTATAAGGGGACGTCCCACTGTGTGGCGTCGTTTGTGGTGGAAAATGTCAAATCGTCTATCGGCTCTGCCGGTAAAGTTCTCTACGATCATTTGACAAATCTCGGTGCGCTTTAAAGTCACAACCACGCAGTTTTCACCACCTACATTTATGTGCGAAATAATAGCGGTGCGACATTTTGACTAATTTTGACTTTTCTTGTTTCCATTGATTAATGTTCATTAATTTTATATAAAAGTCTAGCTTATTATTTAACAACCGCCATATACAGTGCTGGACAAAAGTAATGGCACAGAGAACTTTTCGCAATGTATGGAAAATTTTTTCTTATAATTTATTTTTGCTAATTTTTATAAAAATATAGTTCTCAAAACTCAGGAAAATTTAATAAATTTGCGTACTAATTTGCAACTTTATAATCAGATTTTTTAGAAGAATTCTAGATATGCAGTCGATTTTAGTATAACAAAGTGCAAGTTTGAAATTGATTTTTGGCAAATTTTTTCACAGAGTTTCTTGCATACAAAGTAATTATGTTCGACAAATAGAATTTGCAATTTAAATTATTACAATAAAAATTATTAAAAAGTTGTTAAGTTACTTAATTACATCCTTCATTTTACCAAAATTGTAAGCCAGAAATAAGTACTTATATGTATACATATATTGCACAAGTGAGCTTAGGTATGAAAAAAAAAAACAACAAAATGGAATGTGGTTTGCATTATTAGAATCATATTCCCAACATTTGCGAATGAATGAATGAAAAATCATGAACACTCCAAGGCGATTAAGCGCATCAATCTCTTCGCGCAAAGCTGCTTTACTAAAACCAAGTAATTACAGGTCAATTAAAATTCCAATCCGAAGTAAATGTATGCAATAGCTAAAATATTATAAAAAACTAACTTGTCTATTGTACTTTTAATATTGAATGCCAAAACATGTATAAGCAACGTTCAACGTTCATCAGAAGCATCAGCCATCAAGCTAAGTTACACTACGTCAACTCTTCTACACTTTATGTATGTACATACATATGTAGGTGTGTGTTTAACCGAAGGTGGACGTGTGCGTCCAGTAAACATCTTTGCGCATAATAAATTAGACTAGCCAACTGTGAAGCGCTCGCTTACCAAGTATATATATGAAGTCTCTGAGACGGCCAGCGGCAAAGTTAGCAAATGTTGATTTTGTGCTTGAGGATCACACTTAAATGGCAAATATTAACAGGTATTAGCGAGACCGCCGACGCCAAAGCCATCTCAGCTAAACAGCAAAAGCAACAACAACACAACTCAATTCATGCAGAAGAGTATAAAAAGTGGGCAATTTCAGCCGATCAACGTTCGTAATTCACACCACCACCAACAATCCAGGGTATATTTTTTCTAATTTTTCATATAAACGCCGCGTGTATTGCAGCAGTGGTGGCAACCAACAGCAGCAGCAACACAGCATTGCAAAATGTTGCAGTTGTTTTGTTGTTTTTTTTTCTTTTTGCAATTCACACACAGCTATTTGTAATACAACCAGATGTACACGATGATTACACGCCGGTATGCGTGGCCACTGTGGTCGGTCGGTGGTACACACAGAAATGTCGCAATGCCACACATAAAGCATGCAATTGCAACAACAACAACTGCAGAAGCTACTGCAACGGCAGCACCAGCTACGGCGCGCAGAGGAACAGAGGAACAGCGCAGGCGCAGGCGCAGTTACAGTAGCCAAGCCATGCAAGCAATACACCCGTACACCCGTACAGCCGTCAGTTTAGTTGCCTCGTCTAGTTGAATGGGGTAATTTTGCGAGCGCTTTTCAACTTATCTAAAAAGCCTTTATGCTCTTAACGAATGTGCAGTGTGTGTGTGTGTGTGGCAATCGCTTTTGTCGGTGTTGTTGTTTTAGTTGCCGTTAGTGCGATCAACAACGTTGGCATCTGCTACAATTACCGCCATTAACTGCAACACTGCAAATAGCAGCGATTACAGACGCGAGTTGAACGTGTCAGCAATTCCAAGCGATGCTGTACATGACTTCCTCATGCCACTGCTGGCATTCATGTATGTACATGCATACGCTTGCGAGCCATTCATAGATGATATCCGCAACAAATTCGAATTGTTTAACAGCCTTTCAGCAAAGAATGCTGTTAAAATACATTTTTACTAATAAAGTGCGAATGTTATATCCAGCCAAAATGTTATGTATGAACATCATATCGTCTCGCTACCATATCAAACTAACGAATGTGCAAAATGCTTTTTCATTTACGATACCCTTCGCATGCGTTTAGAATGTTACGTAAATTGGCAAATTGTCGAATTTTTAGTCTTCTTTGAAGCAGAGGATACTAGGTTCGTTCGCGTAGCTGTTAATTGTTCATGTTTAACCAAAACTTACAGGTTTTTGCGTTCGCGTACGCAAAAAACTTGCAAAGTAGGGGAAATTGAGAGAGCAAAGTGACATTTCATTTTGAGGGGAAGCTGTTAGTTTCTGTTGGAAAAATTTTTGCCAACAGCAATTTGCCAACAGGGAAACAGCTGATCAAAAACAGCTGGTTGGCATTTACGCAAATCACAAAATTTAATTTGATGGTTTGGAAGATAAAAATTACAAAATGCGACTAATTAAACTTGTAAGAAATAAGTAGTTATTTGTTTAATCAATAAACTGTGTCAGTATAACACTTTGCGATGACTTTTCGTACGTTTTAAATTTTACACTTTTGTATGTAAACAAAAATTATATCAGCTGTTCGTCTAACTTGCAAGTTTCTGCAAATTTTCTGTTCGCGTACTATTTTGGATATTTCTCTCTTGTGAGCGAACAGATGACATTTCGCCGGAATTTGGCAGTTGGTTGGTTTCTGTTGGAGATTTTAAACGAACGCACCTACTGGCTTCAACAAAGTGTCGAATGCCACACTTTTTCCAAATTGACATTTTTTTACAGCAGTTTCTTTGCTCTCCTGAAACACACATGCGATACGTTTGACATGCTAGCTACGATATGAGTATTTGTTTTTGTTTTTGATAGTAAATTTGATAATTATTGATTTAAAGAAAATACAATAAATTAAATTTAATTACATTTTGATTTTAGCGCGAAATATTTAGAAATTTTCTAGTTTATTACTTCGTCTTCTTTCCCTTTTTCCCTTTCTTTCCCTTTTTCTTATTACCAGCGCACAAGGCAGCGAGCGCTTCGTCCAGCTCCTTATCGGTGATCTGCGTCTCTGTGGTCATTTTCTGTTTGGGCAGTATAATTGGCTGTTTCGGTGTCTTCAATTCGATTTCGATGGTATTTCGCTTAGGGCGATAGTGCTGCTTATTGCCTAATTTCACCAGAAAGACGTCGCTATCGGTATCTTCACATGTTCTGTAGCATACCTAGAACGGTAAGAATTTTGGCAATCAAACGAATGAAAAAACACATTTTTTTTTTTCTAATTTTGTGCTTAGAGGATTTTCAAGTTAAAACCATTTAAGAAATGTAGGGACCGTAACAGTTATGATCTTTATAATAAAAAAAATCATAATTTAATAGGGCATTTCCACCAAGAGAAAAGTGAGAAAAGTGTGAGAGTTGGCCATCTTTCTGTTCTGCTTTTGCGTTGGCGTTGCCCAATTTTGGTTATATGAAGACTTTCATATAAATGCACGTATTCGTAGTCAGCTGTCGAAGCGACGCCAACGCCAACGCCAACGCAACGCCAAAGCTGTATGTAGACGGGCCTTTAATAGAGACAAAACTAGATAGCTCCGTCGGAAAGTTTTCACAGAATAATTTTGAAAATTTATTTATGTATATGGTAATGAAATTACTTTTCAATAATTTGAATACTTCTTTAAACTAAAATAGTGCAAATGCAATTATTACATTGTGTGAATTACATAAAAATTTTATATGATGATAATTTTGTCAACTACAATTTTAAACCCCGACAATGACAATTTGTCACGTTTTCAATGGAATTTCTCATTTAGTTGAAGCGGTGTTGACAATTGTTTTTATGAAACAATACAACCACCACACTGTCGAATTGTCACTGACAATACGGAAAATGCCTGTCGTTACAAAATAATCACTTTATGAAATAGGCTCCTGAGTGGAAGATCGACCTATCACGGCAACCAGTTCGAAAACGCCCTAACTCAGAAAAGTTTTCAAAAACGCCCTCTTTCAGAATCGGTTCAAAAACGCCCTATCTCAACTGAAAATATATTGAAAACGTGCTGATAGGGCGTTTTTGAACCGAATTCTGAGTTAGGGCGTCGTTCTTCAACCAAATTCTGAAATGTCTTCTGCGAAAAATATTTAAATTGAAGCAAATTTCACTCCGTATTTTAATGAATTTAGGCAAGACGTTTTTTATGGGAGTCATGAAATTTGCCATACATATGCACTCATGTATGTGTATTATGAACCTTGAACTTATGAACTTTCATTTTTTTTTTCACCCGTAACCTTTGACTCTGGATATACAGGCAAAGTCCTCCTTCAGTCATATCAACAGAGTGAAAATTTCTTTCAATCTTTTGCCAGCTTGCATACTTGTACTACTTAGATAAGAGCACTGAAATAAATGTACTCCACTTACTGACTACACACACACATGGGCATACAAATATCCTTCACTAAATGGAGCGTTTATGCAACACAAGCGTCACAAAAAAAAAAAAACACTATATTCATAACATGGATTTGTAATGAATGGATTAGTGGAAAACTGTGAAAAAGGTACCGCATAAAAAAAAAAACAATCACGCAAACTGGGGCAAATCGGTGCTTCAACTTGATTCCATACAATAACACTCAACTACGGTGGATTGCTTGTTTCGGTGACTACACTAACTTACATACATATGTACATACATACATTTGTATGCTGCATTGATTTGGTTGAAGCTGATTTGATGCAATTGCTATGTGGAATTTTTTTGCGTTGGCGATATCTTGCGATTGAAAGCATTCGAAGGAAGCTGAATCACACTGATGCGCATACATAAAAACATTGATACACGTATTTACATATGTACATATGTATGTCAGTACGCAGCAGGATATATCCATTTTTACAAATTTATCTAAGACAGTTGTAATTAAAAAAAAAAACACTCACAGAGGGATATTCTGTGGAGGTTCTTAAAAATAAAGCAAATAAGAGCAGCGTGTATAATTTCAGTTACAATCGTTTTCCCTACAGGGTTTTTGCTACTACATAGTAGTACACATAAGTTAGTAAGGTAGCAACAAGTGCAAGTAATGTACACATATGGGCATACACACAAATACGCGAGCAGCCGTTATTGTTATTTACCTTTTATTGCACACAACAACTACTCATATAAGCCAACATCACAAGCCATATCCAAGCACAAATTAAAAAAAAAATAAAATGGTATTGGCTGCATTTTTTCATCTCCCGATTATCTGAAATCTGCTATTGTACTGACGCAATTGGCGCACAATGCAAATGCACAAAGCACAAACAAACGTTATTATTGGCTTGTTTATTTACATAGTATTTGAGCAACGTGTCTCAATGCAGAAACATTGGAGATGTACACTCTGATTGTCAGTGGGTGGTGTAGTGTTTGTATGGTTGGTCCTATGTTGCCTATTTTTACAAATCAATGCCAAATAAAATAAATTGAATGCTATACTGAAACTAAATCAAAAGGATATGAGAGCGAAATTTTTAATATCTCCATTTAGAGGATCTGACGTTTGTAAGTATTTTATTTATTTATCGCCTTACCTCAATACCCTTTTTTCTGGTATCTGTGTTTATGCCCTTCAAAGTGTCTTTAATATCTTGAGGATCTACTTGTAGGCAGCAGTTTCGTATATCCCGCGCCGGCAATGGTGGTGCAATGGGACCACAACTGTCGTCGTCACAGCAGGGTCCTTTACGACGGTAGAGCTCTAGTTTTTGATCTACATTACATATTGATTTGATCTTATTGAAGGGTAGACAATAATTTTCCGGTTCGCATGAATCATTTGCGGAGTATTTGATGTTAGCTCGGATTTTCGGCAGCCTCGGGCCATTGATGATGTAACCATTTGTGCGTCGCTTGACATGATTTTTGGCGAAACTACTGCGTTGTAGAATCTCGTTCAAGGTCTCGCATCGGTTGTTGTTTTCCTGAAGGTAAATGTAAAAAATATAATGATTTATAAAAATAAGTTAATAGTAAAAACAAAAACTTTATAAAACAAGGTCTCTAAATATATACCAAATGCGACCATAAATACAGGTTCTACAAATATCTTGACTCTTGCGCCATCGGCATTTTTTATGTGGAGTTATTCACTTTCATGCAAGTGCATAAGATATATCATAAATAGGTCTAGGATCTTTTTGGACTAAAATCTGAAAAGTCTCAAAATGTCAGAGCGTAAGCAAAATGCGCTCACTAAAAGAAAATAACAGGAAAAGTAAAGGAACGCAAAAAACCCACACACAAACGCCCACAGCAACAACTCGAATGGGCCTCCGCACACTGGACTGCTCTAAGACTAAGAAAAGTACAATAAGAGACTATTTTGCGAGATGTAAGTAATAAAAACCACTTGCCACATTTGTGTATTTTGTTTTTGCATCTCTTATCTAAAGTGTCAAAAACTGTTCTGATTTTTTTCTTGTAAATCAAAGAGTACATATGTTTTGTGAGAAGAAATTAAAAATATTTGACATTTTAGAGACCGAATAATTTGAAAAAAAAAATCAAATCAGCTGCTCTACTGATACTACCTGTTCAATTTGCCTTAGGGAGTACAAAATATTGCAAAAAAGTACATTTGACTGTACTTCGAAGTACAACGGCTCAAAAAGAAGTACTGTACTTCCGAAAGAAGTACGGTTGGTCACATTATGTAGGTAATATGCAGGTGATTTTCAAAGAACTAGCGCATTAATTCATCTGTCATATAGCATTGTCACCGGGTTCTGAGCTAAGTTCTAAATTTCAAGTTGCTAGTGCCTCGGGAAGTTATTAAAAATTGATTGCAAGATTAGACCCAAACAAATATACTTACATACACACATGCTAAGCAAGCTTAATAAAAGCGTGTACAAATTTTAAATTAAATAAAGCAAAACTAAATTAAATAAATTTAATGAAATTTAAAGAAGTAGGTATGTAATATCCAATTCTTGTATAGCGATCTACATAATTCGAACTTATATTTACCTTCGTATTCTTCCCCTCACAATCACTTCCACTGTCGTGACCACCTTGCTGCATACCATCGTCAGCACTTTCCACTACGTAAGTATTCTTGAGAA